ACTTAGTATATGAACAATATTAAGAAAACTCTAAAGGAATACACCCATAATCCCATCAATCCAACTTACTTTTATAAAACTATAATCATAGTGAATCATCATGCTTCCATTTTTCTCGTTTCTCTTAACATTGTTCTGTAAGTATTTTATGGTCTATACTTACCATTTTTAATTTCCATGTACTTCATATTTCATCAGGGCAATATTCCCATAAAGTGGGACATTTAGGTTTTTTTCACACTTGCACTATAGCATATAACACTTCAAGATTTTCATTCATCAAGTTCTTTTCCCTTTTATTTTTTATTTATTTTTTATTTTTTTAAAGATTTTATTTATTTGAGAGAGAGAGAGAATGAGAGCGAGAGCCCATGAGAGGGGGGAGGGTCAGAGGGAGAAGCAACTCCCTGCTCAGCAGGAAGCTCAGTGTGGGACTCCATCCCGGGACTCCAGGATCATGACCTGAGCCAAAGGCAGTCGCTTAACCAACTGAGCCACCCAGGCTCCCCTTTTCCCTCTTTTAAAAGCTTTAAGGATAAATTCCAAACTGCAATTAGGGGATCAAAAGGTATGATAGTTGAAAGTAGTAATTCTTAGAAAGTGAGGTCAAATTCACTTATTCAGATCTCTCTTACATACAACATTGACCCTAGGAGAAGGATGAAACAGGAGAGTCATATCTTAAGAATATTCCAATGAAATTACTACCACAGAACCTGTGATCTTGACAGCATTCATGAATCTCCCTATATCAAAGGTTACCAAATTTTTTTGTTCATGGAAGAATATAAAATATAAAAGAATATAAAAACCGTGGCTGGACGTTTAAAAGCGTTAAATTGTTGATGTAGACCATCACCATGCTGATAAAAGTATGCGTGGTTATCACATATGGGTCACTTGCTCTTTCTTCCACTCAACATTGCTCTTTGAATAGAATCTGCTCTCATGGACTCAAGATGAAAAGTCAAACCTCATTCCAATAAATATGCGCTCTTTTATTGCCATTCTGATCACTTTCTCCTGTCTTTCAGCAAGGTGAATCACCATGCCACATGACTCCATTGGTTGAGTCTGACAGCCATTGTCATAAAATGCTTTATACTCAAGCACAGAAATAGTAAATGTTGCCCATTAATTATGATTGGTGGAACACCCATGAGGGATTTGAGGAACAGTGGTGTGTGGTAGCATATTGCTTGAGAACCAGCATATTGCTTGAGAACCACAGGCCTATAAATCTCATATGTAATGAACAAATGCAGGCATTCAAGAGAAAATAATCTAAAACATAGTCACAAATGAGAAATGTATCTAAAATTATACCAGGCTGGTATATTAATTTTGCTGCATCTACTGGTTGTAGGGTACTGTCAGTCCTCCACAGGTGTAGTTTATAATACAATGTATCATAGAAATAGTTTCTCAGCCTACAGAGACTGTAGTTTCAGTTTTAAAATAACAAGGTCTAGAATAACTGGTAGCAAACTACACTGGTACCATTCAGTGATTGTGTTTTCTACCATCGAATACCTCCTAAGATGTTAAAAATACACCACAAAACCTTGGGGCGCCTGGGTGGCTCGGTTGTTAAGCATCTGCCTTAGGCTCAGGTCATGATCCCAGGGTCCTGGGATCGAGCCCCATATCAAGCCCCATATCAAGTCCCATATCAAGCCCCATATCAAGCCCCATATCGGGCTCCCTCTCCGTGGGAAGCCTGTTTCTCCCTCCCCCCACTTCCCCTGCTTGTGTTCCCTCTCTCGCTGTCTCTCTTTCTGCCAAAGAAATAAATAAGATCTTTAAAAAAAAAAATGCACCACAAAAACTCACCCATAGGGATGAAAAGCAGGACAGGGGTTGCCTGGAACCAGAGTAGAGGATGGGGTGGAGAGTGGTTGATTGACTGTATAGGGGTATGCAGGAACTTTCTGGAGCACTAGAAGTGCTAGATCTTGATTGTAGTGGTGACATGGGTGAACATAATTATCAAAACTCACTGAACTATACACTAATAAAGTTGATTTTTTTTAATGTGCCACAATTCACATTTATTATTAGTTGTTAACCTCTTTTTTCCAGTACCATCAAGGAAGTAACATTTTGATAATATAATTGCCCTTGCCCCTCCAAATCAAACATGACATTAGTGCTGATCTTTGTCTAGCCATTTATCTACCAACACTACTCTCTAATAACCATATGGGTCCAACAATTAATAATGTTCATTTTTAGGTGTCAAAGTGAAAAGGGGCTTTAAAACATCTCCTTGGTTTAAGAGGTGAGGATTAAAAAGTATACAATGTTCTTTAATATTAAAGTTCAATTGGCATGTCAATAATTGATAGATCCTGAAGGTTTTAATTTTTGAAGACAAATTAGAATGTGGAATGGTGGTCAGGTTTTCAGTAATACCCTGAGTCAGAATCATAAAGTACTTGGTCTGTGATTAACCTACAAAAAAGTTCAGCTATTAAAATTAAAAAGCAGGTTTATTCCTTTTTTTTTTTTAAGATTTTATTTATTTATTTGACAGAGAGAGACACAGCAAGAGAGGGAACACAAGCAGAGGGAGTGTGAGAGGGAGAAGCAGGCTTCCCTCTGAGCAGACAGCCCGATGCGGGACTCGATCCCAGGACCCTGGGATCATGACCTGAGCCAAAGGCAGATGCTTAATGACTGAGCCACCCAGGTGCCCCGAAAAAGCAGGTTTATTTCTAAAAAATAAATGGAAAGATTTATTTCTCAGACTCTTATGCCATTTATGCTAAAATTTGAAGGCAATTTTAGCCATGGATATAGGCATAGACTTCAATATCCAGGTCATTAGGTAATATATTTAGTACAGGGGATCCAAGTTCATCATTAGACCTTAGAAATAATGCATATTACATGTGCCAGTTTAGGAGAAACTAGAGAATAAACACCTCCCTGCTCTGCTCCACACTACTACTCCTTTACCCTTGACAATCACAGCTAAAGTTTAGCAAAGCAATTTCCTCATTTCCTGGATGCTGACTCTTACTTTTACTTGCTTCTTGACCAGAGTAAGGACTGCTTGATGGAATAAGATTGCAGGACTGCAGTTTCAGAAGCCAAAACACCGAAAACAAAGACAGTAATGGAGAAAGCATTAAGTTCTCAGAAAAGAGGCACTGACTCAGGGCTTCATGAATTTCACTCTTTCCTTAAAATCAAAGGATAACTTACAGCAACACTAGAAGAGTTTCAGAAATCTGCCTCCCCACAATTCCATGAGCAAACAATTAATGGGTGACATACGTACACGGATATAGGTGGTATGAGATGGTGTGATGGGGCCACAGAAGGATGTTGTGGAATCTAAATTCCCACCTAGAATGGGAGTCCCCGAAAACAACCTTTACAGATAGCCAGCCTGCTGCTGCAGGAACACTTCTGGGGACAGAGATTTCACCAGCATGGCAAGTCTTTTGGTTCACAGCTGGAAGGTTTAATTTTTAGGAGGTTTTCCCTTAGACTGAGCTGAAATAGACCCATCAAAACCCCTTCTCTAGCATCAGCTTTTCCCCTGCACAAATATACTTCAATACCCTCCTATCATTCTTGAAACATTTAAGATTAATAATATTCCCTGAGGGCTCTCCTTTCTAGGCCCAAAATGTCTTTTTAAAAATGAGTTACTTAACTTACTGATTTCCCTCCACAGGACATGTCTGTCGGCCAGTGGGCTCTGGATCCCAACACCACTGGCATTGACTGAGCTTAAGGACACTCAAACTCTTCGGCAAATGACCTATTTTCAAGTCACAATCCTTCTATATTTGAGGAACTGACTCATCCTTGTGAAATTCTCATTTCGTTAGTTTCTGCCTGTCAATCAAGCTCACTCAGATTCTCTTTGACTCAGGATTCTGCAAATTAACCTTTCTGAGTCTGTTTCTTCATCTATACAATGACATTAATATCATTCAATAGGATAGAGAGATTTTTGCATCCTACACTAGTACATGTTCAGTAAATTTATGTTGATCCGATGATAAGCATTTTTGTAAAGGATGAAAGATCATAAAACCATAATCCAATATGCTTAATTGTCTCTAGGTTTTACATCCAAAAATTATGATGTAAGTCAACTGCTTAATCGGACACTTAGAAGCTGCCTTTCAGGTTACTAAGATAACAGTAAAACAGTATTGTTATTGTAGTGTTCCCTCTCTACCCTCTTTGATTACCTTTTGTGAACACTTTTGACTTTTTTTTAAGGGGAAATAATCCCACTAATAGATTTTTTTCATAGTTCTTATTTTGTAATTTATCTTAATTAGCACAGTCCTCTGCCTGCTCTCCAAGGCCTTTACATGTTCCAAATTGTGAAACTTGTTAGACTGCGCTCTTCCCCAAAGCAGGGAACAAGTCTGATTTAGTCTGATTTGGTCTAAGTCTTTCCCAGTCTGACCCCAGCTACCTTCCCTTCGCATCTCTCCAGCATCCCAGGTCCCTCTACTCACCTCAGCTACTCCTGGCTACTTCTAGATGCCCCTGATGCCAACAAATCTCTGCCCAGAGGACGCACCTTTCACCCGGTCTCCTACATAGCTTTCAAGGCTCATCCAGTCTTTTCCTCCAGGAAGCCTTGTGCACCTATGATTTCCCCCTAATCGTCACAGTAGGTCACAATTGTCCACCACACTGCTCCTTCAGGGCAGAAACCATTTTTATCCATGTAACAAGACGCTTGGTACATGGCCCCCTTTCCCATCGTGGGCGGAATGAACAGCTCAGAGCTTGAGACACAGGACACTTGGGGTCTCTGCACAGGATGGGAGAATGCCTTCCTTGTTCTACATGGACATCCGGCTTCTACATTATTCTTCCACTTCTCATTCATAGCTGGCATCCTGTTTGCTGAGTAGATACTTGCTACCGATGTTTTGGAATATATAATTAATTCACACTTCTTTACAGGCTTGAATCCTCCTCCCACCCAATTCTTTTCAAGAGGTTTTGAGTTTTATGAGATGACTTACCGAGCTAGTATTCATCAGCGTGGCCACCAGAACAAAAATGTTGGGTGGGTCTTAACAAAGAAAACGATAAAAATTGTTTATGCATTATTCCCACCTCACCCTAACTTCACCAAAGGTAAAGCAGAGATCCTGTTTATTTTTTCCTTGCCCTCTTAATTATTCCTAGACATATTAATGTGTCACCGTCATTGGCCTCTCCAATTCATCTGCTACTACTATTAACTGCCCTCCTTGATTTGGAGCAACCAACTCACTTTCGGCCAAAGTGAGGAACTCCGGGGGCTAGAAAGCGCTAAATATAAATATCTGCTTGCCCCGACTGCTCCCCAAATGTTTCCCATTACTGGCGCTTCGAGAGCAAGCACACGTCCAAGACAGCAATCACAACATCAAATAGGGCCAAGATGACCCCCTAGCGTCCCCCTCCGTCCCAATCAGTCACCACCTCCCGGAAGGAAAACAAACCGGCCCCAGACACATCCCTCCACGTGCAGCGAGCGCCCTAAGGCTGCCAGGCAAAGGGGCGACGCGCGTCCCCATTATTGCGCGCGCCGCCGCGCCCTTCCAGGTGCCCTCGCGTACCTGGCGGCGGTGTCCGCGCCTCGGAGACCGCCGGCCGGCTGGGGCGCGGGAGGTGCGCGCGCTCGCGCGGGGGTCGGGGCCCCCCGGCGGCTGCGCCCCCTCCGCCGCTCCCCGGGCGCCGATCGCCGCCCTCCCGCCCCGAGTGGGGCCGCGGGCGGTAGCGGCCCCGGGCTCCCGGCCGCTGCCTGGGAGCCAAAGGGTCAGATTTAGTTTCACAACAAAGTCTCTTCGTCACAGCAACCCGACTGGAGGCCAAAGCGGCCGGGCAGCCGGGGCAGGGGCCGGAGCGCCGCCGGCGTGGCCGAAGGTGGGAAGAGAGCGCGCGGGGGCAGGGTGGCCGGAGACAGGGTCCCGGCGGCTGGACTTACTCGTGTCACAACTGCGGCGACGAGGGGCTGAGGAACCGGTTCTTCCAAAAACAAACCGAAAATGGGTAACGGAGAGGCCAGGGCAGCGCTAAGAGGGGGTCCTGTCTCTGTGTTAAGGGCAAAAACTGCTCTGGCTTCCAGAAATTGGAGCCAGTGGTGGCTTTTTTCTTTCTTTCCTTCTTAAGTGCGCCTGTGCCTCCGGGTTGAGGGGCGCCCTTTGCGCGGCTCTGAGTGCGCAGCGACAGCAGGGCCGGCGCTGGCGAGGGGAACCCTCTTCTCAGCACCCCCGGTCTTCCCAGTACCCCCTTCCCGGCCCCCGGCCCCCTCTCTGGGCCCCGACGCCCCTCCGCACCCGAGCTGGAGCGTGGGCCTGCTGCCCATGCCCCGCGGGGTGTCTAGGACTCCTCAGCCCTTCAGTGTTTAAACTGAGGGAGAGGGTGGTGGGGGTTGGTCTGTCAACATGGGGGAGTTAGGTGTGCTTGAGGTGGACCTGGAAGGGGAGGACAGGCGGAGTGACATGGTACTTCCCCCCCCCCCCGTTGGGGTGGGGAGGATTTAAAGGAATAAGCAGTCAGACTGAAACTTATTAAGACATCTGGGATTCAAATAATTTTATAAGTGGTCTTAAAGGTATGTAGTCTAACTTAAGGAAACTGAGACTAAGAGTAGTAAGTGGATTACCCCAAATCGTTCAGCCTCAACTGAATGTCCCATCTGGCTCAGTATCCTTTCTATTAAATTTTTTGCCTTTCTTTGCATCAAGGAACCCTTTGGGAGGGTAGGGGGAAGTTTCTGTAACCTCAAAATCCCTCTCTATCTGTGCGTTAATGGGGGCTAGAGCCAACCTGGATTCAACCTGTGAAGTATTTAGGCATTGGCTGAAGCATCCATCACAGGCCTGTAACCTGAGATACTCCTTCTTTGGGAACTTCCGCTTACTTGATTAGGGAATCCAATCACAAGCCGGGAAAGATATGCAAATACTTTGGTGATTTGCTCTTATAAGGACTCATGCTTTTCAGTGAGCATTAAAATGTTTGCAGTTCTCCCTCCCTCTCAAATAAAATGCCTTCCCCTTCCTCACTCAATTATTCACATCAAATGAGATCATGTAGGCAAAAGGCCCTCGGAAAGTATAAAGCATGGCATGAATACAAATATAATTGTGCATACTCTTTCAAACTCATCTAGATTCACATGCTTTATTGTTGTTTATATCAGTCAAGTATCTGTTGACTTGTACTAAATACCATGAAGTCAGAGTCAGAATCCTTCACCTTCGAAGACCCTAGGTTATAGATTCTGAGATAAGACCAACACACAGGAAATAAATAGAAATACACACAAAGACTGATTTTTGGTCCCAAACTGTTAAATATTTATATGTATGCAGACCCTGTAACTTTCCAAAATAGACGGTATATATCAGGTGAGAAGACTTCTTGTAGAAGTCAGTGCACTGATAAATTATGTTAACCTAATAACACCCAAATATCTTGTCCTAATAGAAATATTAACCAAATCAGCCAGTTGATGAGGATGCCTTTGCCTTTTTGAATTCATTGCTTATCCTTTCTACCCATTATGAATACAAATTTTTTTTATAATATAAAAAAGCAAATCCAGAGTCTTTTAGAGCTTAGGTCATCAAAAGTTTTATTTAAGGAAGAAGCAACAATAACTCCAAACTACCAAATATATGTGTCTACTATGAAATCACCAAAAGCAATGAAAGTTTCTTTTGTCAAAGACCACAGGCATGGTATTTATTTGAAAATCATATTTAAAAAGTCAATCTTTATAATTTAGAAGTAACATATAATCTAAAATTTTTATGTATTAATAGTCTTTTGATCCCTGATCCTAAAATTTCCTTAAATATATATATAGAACAGCTCCCAGCCCAAATATCCTACCATTTTATTTTGTTTAACTTCTCAAAACCTAGATTCATATGGTCCTTGGATAAAAACAGATCTAAACTTTGAACCAGTTTCTGAATTTGAAGGTGTAGAGAATTATTTCATTATTGCTCTTTAGGAAATGCCACGTGTTTAAAATACTGGCAGTACTAGATTCAGAAGATAAAGTCATATTCAGAATTTTCTATTAAGGAAAATTGTTATTTGGGCAAAGTACACTTATTTTTGCACAGTATACAAATTCTTCATATTCTCCAAAACGGGAGTAACAGGAGCCAATTTATTGAGTATAATGTATTCCAGACACTTGCTGGAATAAACAATGCTCTTGAGCCCCTCAGATGCACAGCCAATAGGGAGCTGTTGACTACTTGAGGTTTTTACACATCTCTCCGCCAGATCAGAAATCCAAATCCCAAATCAATCACAGGCACAGTGTGGATTTATAGTCCTGCTAGGGCATAGGGTCACAATCTGCAAATGCATTATACCACCTAAGATAGGTTTATTTCTAACATGAAATATACTTATTTTTTTCATTTGACACGACTGCAAGTCTGGATAAAATTTTTAATAAAAATTTAAATGTCCTTTGTAAAAACCAAGCCAAAACCCAATAAAACATACATTCATAATTATCCACTTGAGAATATATATGTTTATATTCATCTATTGGTGTATTTATAGATATATGTATCTGTTGAATTTCCATGTAACTAGTAAATGCCATAAGGAATCAATTATGTATCTGTTGGTTTATATTGGACTGAGAACATTCAACTGTTTACATGTCATAAAATACTAATCTTAACTGCTATCCCAACCTACCTTAATTACAATAAAGAAATGACAGGGTTTTTTTTGCACATGAGAGTACAAAAATTGCTTAAGTGTAGAGTTGTACTCTAGCTTTATGGCATGAATACAGAACACATGTGACAGAAATGTATATTTAAACCCAGGTCCTATTCAAACTTTCAAATACAGATCCACAGAAGGCAGAGGGCAAAACTCAACAGAAGTTTCATAGTTCATTGAGCATTTATATTCTGTATATAATGACAGGTTATGTGTGTTATGAACAATCCTTATTCAAAGGAAATTTTGCGCTTCTCTCTCTCTCACACACACACACAAACACTTTAAGAATCCTTTTATTATTTAGTTTGGCAATGTAATTTCATATAGAAAAACTTGTCAACGCACCTAATGGGAGTTTTCCTTAAAGGAGGATGAAGATCCAGCCCACTAGCTTAGATCGAGATTTGCTTCAGAGCATCAGTGGGAGAAGACCAGACCATATGGGAACAGCCAAGAGTCAAGCCAACTCTTCAGGTGTGAGTTAGAAATTTTCTTATGTGCAGGAATCATTTAAAGAAACTTTTACTAGATCAATAATTTTTTCCCCTAGTACTGGTCTTTTTTCACTTAGCTAAATCACTTAGTACTGTTAGCATCATGTTAACTCCTTCAGTATATCTGGCCATATATCTGGCCAAAGAGCATGAATGGAAGGCACTAGAATAATAATACCAAGAAAAATTGTGCACAAGACTGATCCCTATGCTCTAGGGCCTTTATATTATGAAAAGTATGTGTGAGTTTTAGTCTACTGAAATATCCTGTGATCTGAAAGTTAATTTCTATGCCTATTGCTCCCCTAAAAAAGGGTCTGAGGCAAACCAGGGAGAAGTTGACTCACTAGACAGGAACTTGTTACGTGAGCCATAAATTTTGACTTTTACATCCAATTTCTTGTTACATTAGGACTGATTTTCTAATCCATTTACTGTTGACTAACATTAGCAAATACATTTCCCCCTATCAAGACTTCCAGAGAACATCATCAAAGTCTTTTTTTTTTTTTTTTGGTCGATAGTAGGACAAATCTTTTTTTTAATTTTTTTAAAATTTTATTAACATATAATGTATTATTTGTTTCAGGGGTACAGGTCTGTGATTCATCAGTCTTACACAATTCACAGCGCTCACAACACATACCCTCCCCTATGTCCATCACCCAGCCACTCCAGCCCTCCCAACCCCCTCCACTTTAAGGTGACTTTTAAAAGAAAGGGTAGTATAATGCCTTTACCTCACCATCTTTTTATTTTTTAGATTTTATTTATTCATTTGAGAGAAAGAGAGAGCACAAACAGGGGGAGAGGCAGAGGGAGAGGGAGAAGCAGGCTCCCTGCTGAGCTGGGAGCCCCCAACGACCAACGACGTGGTACTGGATCCCAGGACCTGTAGATTATGACCTGAGCCGAACATACCAGGCATTTTGGAGGTATCTAATGAGAGGATGCTTTATGCACTTATAGCTTAGGAAACCAAGTGTGGGGTACAACACAAGGGTTCTGGGTCAGCTTTCTGCTAAAGCAAAGACTTAAGGTTAATTTTCAAAGTGATGTTTTACCCATATCCTATGTCTCATGAATAATTACTATGGTAAACTTTATTTAAAAAAATAATACCTGTTGTGTTGATCTTTTCCTTTTAGGTGAACCTTCCAAAGTTTTTGAGATTCAGTCTTTCTGCATATTTAATCTAATTTGTCTGATTTTTCTGTTCTTTTTATCATTTTTCTCCCTTGGCACATATATACTTTTCATTCTCAGCTACTGTTATAGTTGGAGCTTCCAATTTGCTTTTATCCAGATCATTCTACTTAACATATCCATTTGTGAGCTGCCTTTACTTTTATAAAGAGATGATATCTAACAAGTGCTGTGGGGGAATATGATTCCTTGATGTGGCAGTCACTTGTTCCTGTCCCCGCTCCAAAGGCAATGGCTTGATTGTTCTTTTTACATTTCTGTAATATCATATGACAAACAAGCATCAGATTTATTCTTCTTTCTCACAACTAGGCAATTTTTTAAAACAACACCTTTTTCCCCGAGAATAAAATTGCAGGTGCACTAAAAAAATACCCAACATAATTGCTCTTCCAGCATAGTTTAAAACAGAACTGCATGCTCCATAAGTAAACTAATGGCCAACAGAACGGAAATATTTGGGAGTTTGACTCATGAAGAGTATGAAGTTGGACTTCAAATCTATGACTTTTAGATTATATTTCCCCAGACATACTACTTGTGCTTATCTAGGCTAAATCTCATTTGCTACTTCCTGACCATGTTTTTGGCAGATAGCTGATAGTACTTTTGTTGACTTTTGGTTTATAATTGTAAATTACTATTAACATTTTCTTAAAATTGATTCCATTTTGTGAGTTCTGTCATCACGCAAAAATAAAACTAAACAGGTAGAAAGCCCAGGATAAGAAAGCATGGAATCATTGAATAGATGGAACATGAAGGGTTTATCCTATAAAAGCATAGATTGTGGACTGAGGCCACTTAGATGAAACAATCAGCTCTCTATTGAGCAACAGTAAGCCTGGAGAACAGTACCAGAGGTAGCCGTAAAGATAATTTTCAAACTGCCTTGCCTTGCATGCTGAACCAAGTACCATCTAAGTGCCAAAATTAGTGCCAAAGGAGTAGTGGAAAGGAGAAAGCAAACAATCCACTGTTTGTTTGATAAGCATAAAATATTTATGGTGAGGAAAATTATGTTTCCAACATTGTAATTGTCTTTATTTCTTAACATGTAACAAGAGGCACTGAAGAGCTGTTCTTGGTAATGAAAACCTAATGTGTCCTTGAATATTAGACATTCAGAGAGCTGAATTGCTGATTGGGGTTGACTTCTTCTGTTTCTGTTTTTGTTTTTGTCTGTTTTTTTTTTCTTTGTTTTGCTTTATTCTTTGCCTGGATGTGTTTTCTCTCCTAACACCAGACATTTTGTTTGCTTCCTTTGTTTTGCTAGAGTATTCCATTTTATCAAACAAATGTTTGATAGTTTAAGCTATCCTTGAAGGAATAAAACTTAAAATTGCCTTATACATCATATAAACCAGTACTTTTACATGACATAAATCTATATATTAACTGAATCATAGCCCCAAACCAGTATGTTCATGGTGAGTATGAAGGGGGGGGAACCCCAACAGATAAATTTTATCATTCACTTTTCAGAATGCACAGCATGCTGACAGCTAATGGCCATTTTACTCTGAAATCCTTGTCCCTGGATTTCATTTTTTAATTTGCTTGTAGATCCTGAAATAAATGCCTAGCTCAATAATTTGCCTAAATCTAACATGATATGGATATTTCCTTTCAGATCATAGAATTTATTTATATATGCAAAAGGAAAACTCAAATCATGTCACAATCAGCTAAGGAAACTACAGGATTAGCTGGGGCAAAATGTTTGTTGGAGGGAAAAGGGGGTTATTCTTCAGTGTATGTGTATAACATGATCCCTGTGGTGACTTCAGCGCGACCACTTGTAGCAATTTCTAATCTTTGAAGTTATGTAAAATTTTTTTAGCAGTCTCAAGTCATTAATTCAATAGGTTTGGGTGTCGTTCCAGCAATACGGGAATTCTTAGGCACAGTCAGTTACAATGACATCGATGAAGGCTAAACACACCATGCATTTACCTGCACTCCTTGCGGATGGAATTGGTTGTCAGTGAGACTAGGCGCCGGGGGGTGTGAAAGTATGTAGAAAATTAAACGTGAGCTAGAAATGCTGATCAAACCGTTTGCCTCGGAAAGAGGTGTTTGCCGTTCAAGAAATATTGCGAATGTGGCTGCAAGGCTCAAACATGGATGACTCATTTGATGTGAAAATTGAGCTAGGAAGCTTGAGAAGAGAGAGAGACAGACAGACACAGACCGAGAGAGACAGTCTGGGGTCCCGCGCACGGGGGGCTGTGGCAACGTGGGAGGAATCGCCTGACCACAGACCATGAAACGACGTGAGCCGGATTCGGATAGTTAAGCAAAATTCACCTCGGGCAGGAGGTTTTTCTTTGTCGATTTCGTCTTCAGTCTACGGAAGTCTAGCTTCTTTCGTAAGCCTCGTCTTTTTCCTCAAGCCTAGGACGCCCGCACATTTTGATGCTCTCGGAAAAGCCCCGGACACTCCGGGTTGCTGGTACTGTGTGCAGGCGCATCCGGTCTCTCTGCCTGGTGGCTCTGCAATTTGATTTCAGGCCTTTTTTACCCCCTCGGCATTATTATTATTATTATTATTACTACTTGGGGGGGTACTATATAAGAAATTCGAGAACAGACTGTGGGATGCAGAATCGCACACGTGGTCCTGCAAATGGGATAGGAGGGTGGGGGAGGTGGGGAAGACAGAAGTGAAACTAGAAATTATGGTACAGCTTTAGAATCCGAGAATCTCCCTTATTCTTTTGCAATATATATTGTTTTTGGTTCTTCACAGCTGCACATATCCAATAAAAGTGGAAGAGGGAAGATAATGGCCTGAATAGTGACGTGTCTACGGACATAAATGTACAAGCAGCTCGCCAGCGGGGATTTTTGCGGAAGAACCTCAAAGAGGGATGCCGTTCCCCGGGCTGTTTCTAAATAGATGTAGATTATTTCCCCAAAGATTATGAACAGTTCTTTTGTCCAAATCCAAGATGCGATAATGCATAGGCTTCCTAAAACGGGACTTTCAAATTTCATTTATTTAGAGATGTTTGAAGCCTTCAAGAATTAGAGAAGTAAAGATGAAAAGACATCTTTTTATGATGTTTTGGGTAGCTAAACAGGTAGGCAGATATGCGAAAATGCGATTTACTTCTGGAAGCTGTTTTTGCTTCAGAATGTACCTTCTATTTGCTAAAAGTTTGTATTATCGTAAATAAAATCAAAAGACACACTGTCAATGTGGATGCATCATCTGACAGGTAAAATCGAACACAAATTTTCTTTGGAAAGGGATGATAAATCAGAGTGCTACCACTGATAGTCAAGTCACGATTTAAGAAAAAATATTCCTTCGGTAAGAATGTTCAGTTTTGTTTTTCTTTTCTAACATGTCTTGAGTTAAACAAAACATCTTAACAAGATTGTAACGAAAACTCTTCATGATGTAAACATCCAAAGAAAGAAATTCTAGATTGATTATCTTCTGGGACCGCAAAGATTTTATTACTAGATATCACTGAAGTAGTGGAACCAGAGGCCGAAAGCCTTAGGACTCTAACTGGGTGGTGAGGAGATTTTAGAGGACTATCTCCCAATTTAAAAGAAGAAAAAAAAAAACTTCATAAAATGTAAATGCAATAAGTCGACCGGAATTTTATTTTTCCAAGATTAAAACATGCATTTAGTCGGCTTGGAAGGCCCATTGCCAATTCATGAATCTATCGGAATAAAACACAAGAGCAAGTGCCAAATACCTGTGGTTTATGTAAACTACATAAAATCACGGGGTTTTTACATTTAGATGTATAATAGACGGATATAAAACGATAGATAAAAATCAGTTGTTATGGCTTGTCGTGGATTTCCATGTGCTTATTAATTATCCTAAGGTTCCAAATTTTTTCATTTACGAACACTTGTCCAATATAAGCTTCTGAAACTGCAGCAGGCATCATTTCCTTACTTCACTTCTCAAAGTACATGGGAAAAGACAGCTAGAGATGCTTCTAAGTGAAGCGCGTCCTTGCTGCTTGACCTCAGGAAACAATGAGAAGTGTTTGGCTCTCTCCGCGAGGGTGCTGGGTGTGAGGGGTGGAGGCGAGGGGACTTCAACTGCCATCCCGCGTCCCACCTCCTTATGAAGCTCTGAATGACGCCCATCTAGCACCACACTTGGGGTGCGAGGAAGGAAAAAGATCGTTCGGGCCGGAGCAGTGGGGGGTGGGGGCATTTTACCCTGCCGAGGTGAGGAAGGCTGACCAGGAAACCCCTACGGGACTGTTCGGTCCCGGGAGGGTTAGGTGGATCTGCACCGGGGCCTGCCAGGGGAGCGGGTGTCTCCGCTGTGGGTCACTCCCGCCGGCGGTTGCTCTAGCCGCTTGTGCACCCGCTGCAGAGGCGAGCCACCGGGGCTGGGAAACCCGCTTCCTCCCAGGCGGCGCCGATTACCAGCAGCTGCTTCTGCTTAGCCCCGCGAGGATCAGTTTGCCCCAACCCACGGCCTCTCCCTGGGCTCGATCTCCTCCCGCCCCTCCCTCCCCTTCCCCGCCTCCCCCAGTCAAGCTCCGCCGCGACCCGGGCTATTCTTCGCGGTGGCGCAGTCACGCGCGCAGGTTCTGAGCTCCAGAATGGGGGCACTGGGGGAGGGAGCACGAGGAATGAACCAGAAGGACTGGGAGCCTTTGAACCCACCCAGGGGGGTTGGAGGAAGACTCTGGGGCGGTGAGATTAGGAGGCCATAGGCGGGCAAGGCGCCGGACTCGGCTTGCTGCAGGCAGCTGCCCCTCCACCCGCGCCGAGGGAGGGTTCGGAGGCCTGCGCGGGAGAGAGGGGCCCGGTGCCCTGCCCTCCACCTGTAGCGTCGGGGAGATTGAACCCGAGAACAGGATGCCGGGCGCTGCGGCCCTGGCGCGGGGCCCATCGGGGGCTCGGGTAAAGCTGGCCCTAGCGGGAGAGTGCGCGCGGTTACCGCAGGCACAGCTCGCCGGGGCTGCCCCCGCACTCCCGCGTCGGCGCACTGGATTTTCAGCCGCGGCTAGAAATAGACCCCCGGGGAGCGGTAGCAGGAGCTCACAAAACGCTGTGTGGAAACTGGGCCAGGGAAGCCGACGATGCTCGGGATACCGCGGTGGGCGCGGGGCAGTGGGCTCGTTTCTGCAGGGTCGGGCGGTGCAGGCCGCGGGCCGAGCCACCGAGGGGGCCTTGCTGCAGCGGGCTGGATTCGGTTTCTCTTCTGAGCGCCGAGTGGGAGTGGGACCCTGGGCCGCGGCAAGAGCCGTCTGCTCAGGGCGGGCCGAGCCCTTGGCCCCCGGGCTGTAAGGGGCCTAATGCTGGCCTGCCTGCTGCAGAGAGGCCTGTCCTGCCACTGACGGTGGTCGGATACGTAAGGATATGCTTCTGAAGAGAGATTTCGCCTAGGTTTGCCGTAGTATTTTGGGAAACTAGCGTCTCGTGACTGAGATCAGTTAGGTTCCCGCACCCTCGCACAGCTTTGTTTTGCCGGCTAAGCATGAGGAACAATAGTATCTCGGCAGCCTAGAAGTGACCAAAGCAAAATGGCCTATCGGGTCCTTCTCCCCGCCCACCGCCGAGAGTAGGGGGCTCATCCGTCAGCGGAGGGCACACCCATTCGCGCCTGTGTCATATTTGACAGCTGGCAGGGATCTTAGCGTCCTCGTAGCGGTCCAACCCTGCAGTGCCGCGGATGAAGAAACTGACATCCCCAGGGGTTAAGTGACCTGCCTCAGATGACACGGCTGTTAACGCCCAGCGCCTAGAATAGTGCCTGGCGCGAGGCGAGTCATCAGTCAGTATGTGTTCAGTGAGTGAATACCCAGCCAGGTGGTCGCAGACTCGGGAGCTGAAGCCAGGTCGGAATCCCGGTGCACTCCCTTTCAGCGAAGCCTGACCACATGCCAGGACGTTTTCCGCCCACCCCGCGCGCTCCAAGGCCAGGGCACAGCGTTCCCAAACCCAGAGGCCCTTTTGAGGACAGATTCCGGAGAACCAAACGCTCTTCGCCTTTCACCCTTCCATACGGATTTCTGAGAATCCGCCGTCTCCAGCTCCCACTCCCACCTCAGTTTTCATCCTGCGGTTCTGGGGACTTCACGTGGTCAGTACCCTTTCCTTAGTATCAAAAACTGCCGCAGGCAGAAAGTTACAATGAGTGAAGCCGTTCTCCTCAGTCTCCTCTCTCCTTTTTGGCCATCCGACATTTTTTGACGGCCTTTACCGTCAAGTACAAACCGTCCATTTCAAGGCAGGGGTGGAGCTTTTAAAGGTCGCCTGGAGAAGCTTTAGCGTCCCTCCCGCCAAACCCCCACCGTGAGCGAATAATCTAAGTGGAAAAAAGCGTGCGTGCAGTGCATCACGACTTGAAGACAAGACTACACCTCCACCCCAGACACACTCGAAGCTCATTGTTGCCTTTAGCTAAAGCCTAGAATTTCTGGGGCCGCCACTACCGTGGGGGAAACCGCGGTTCCCAGTCATGGGAAGGAAGGCGGCGAGGCGCGCGGCAAAGTGCGGAGAAACCTAGACTGCTCAGCCCCGCCCCGGCTGTCTCGGGTTCTTTCTGCCAAGGCAGTAAACTGGCTGTGCTGGATGCAGTCAGACGATGCCCAGCTGCCATTTACTGGAGAAACACCTTGGCTAATGCGTTTAGGGAGGTCGTTAGTCGTCAGCCAAGTGCTACCTGAAGACCCATAGGGCTTTTTTCAGGTAAAGACACCCTCCTCTAGAAGGTGGATTCGGAAGTTTTCGGGAGGTAGAGAGTGATTTGGGGTATTTTCGAAATTTAGATCAGCAACTTAAAAAATCACAATCTGACAGAAAAACGTTTGTAACGCTCGACACTCGTTGTGGGGGCACCTGCAGGAAAGGTGGATTCTCGCCTCTAACATAGGGCTTGGCGTAGAGAAGTGCAAGGATCGTTGAATGAATAAGTGCCAGTGTTCACAATAATATGGGTAAGGTTTTTTCCTCGGGGGAGCCCTCAGCAGCTACCATCTTCCCTCTTTCTAAGATTTGTATGAGACCCAAGCAAATAATTTCAATTTCATGATTCTCAGAGCATCTAATACACGTACAATATGGATAGGATCTGACATTAGTGTTTCCTCAGACATAGTTGTCAGTATATCCTGAGATTAAATGCTCAATGTGATCAGAGAAACACGAACCTGTGCTTATATTCACAGTTAAGGTATGTAAAGTAACATACAGTTTTTTGACAATGGAAAGGAGCTGGCTTCTTTGGAACAAAATGAGAGAGATGCTCTCAGATTTCTTCACCAACAATGAATTTGGGTAGTATATAATGTCTAGGGTAGTAGTTGCAGAGAAATCAAACAGTGAAACTATTCTTATGGTGCAAGTATTTTTTTTTAAATCCCCTACTATTATTGTACCTGTGCTCGCACACGATCCCCACATCTTTCTATTTTCTTATGTTAGGAAAAGTTCCAGAAAATATTACAAATCATTCAGGAAAGAAAAAAAAATGAATAACAGCATTTCTAAGACTAGCTGTAGACATGTGCAAATCTCTCATTTTCCTGAGGTTAAGCCTTGTTTCCCTTTCTGTTGCAATTTAAACCTAAAAGAATATTTATAGGTAATCTTAAATTCTTGGTCCCACGTCTCTCAACAAAGAGATTTTGTTTTGCCTCTAATGTATAAAACTAGAGGCAAGACATTTTGCAATAGTGGGTTTTTCACTTTCACCTTTTAATGCCACACACTTTGTCTTCCTAGTGTACTTCAAGCAGACATTGCCAATATGGGAATTGAAGCAATATAAAGAAAAATCTCCCCTTGGCCAGCCAATCTGTGGAGTCTGTGGGGGATGCACAGCACTCTTAATTCCTCCAAGCTCCATCTGTGGGAATGATGAAACTCAGCCATTATGGAAGATTATGAGGATAAATTAATTAGGTTCTTCCATTATACTCCAGTCTTCTGGAGATGGTTGCCATTTTCCCTTTAAATGTCATTATTTCTAGATCTAGTTAGCAGCTGATGCAATTAAAGAGAAGATAATGTAAATTTAACAATACAAATAACACTTTCTTTCATGTATGTTGAAAAATGCACAAAGGGAAGGACCAGCTATTTGTACCTGTCTGCCATAAACAACCAATATAACTCATACTTTGAAAGAATAAAATGAAAGCAGTCAGTGGTGCACTTGGATTCTTCAGTGAATTCTTGAATCAATACTTTTGTTTCATGTTTTCATGTTCTCAGTAATGTTACCGTATCCAGTTACAAACTCTTGCCAGTAAGAAAGAAAATATGCCCTGCCGTGCACCCTTCTAAACACTTTTAAAGAATCATGCTTTATTTTCATTTGGAATTATGATTCTGATTGTCTGCTGTATCTTTGCAATCTTCAATGGATAATGAGTAGACACACTTAATTCCCTACACTAATCACCTGAGTTGAAAACCAGGGTCACTTTAGCAGACCCAATAACATCTCTGAACTTGTACAAAAGTGGCACATATGGGCACAAAAATAGCACTAATTATGATATTTATTCTGCCACTGCAGAAACATCAGAAAGACCGGTAGGCTAATGATCTATACAGCAAGTATTAAAAACAGATGTATTCCTGTGGCATTACACAGTAAGAATGTATTAATAGGTGATAAACTGCACAATCCTAATAAAATAAGTGCAATATAATAATTTTCTGATTCTTTTCAGCCTCTCAAGGATTATCTCATTTAGTTGTAGAGTTAATAACAACTTTGGTAATTCAATATCCACTATTTCTAGGATCAATATTTAAAAAGATCACAGAT